GCTTGCCATTGCAAACTTAGGGTGTCTTTGTTCAATATTGTAGAGCAGGACCAACAGCCTCGAGCAAAACTTGACTACAATAGCAGGTCTGCCAGCCTCACCAAATTGACGTTGATGGGTTCAGAGCTTAGTTAGATATGGACAGGTTGAGCAAGTTATCCAAAAATTACTATTGGGAGTGCTTCATCCTATGCCATTAGGGAAGACAGGTAAATTGATATTAAAACCAACCAACCATCATCTAGCATGTTCATGATGAGGATTCTGTCCTTTGGCATTGACTGGAAGTCGAAAGCCATGCTTACATGATGCCAGAAATGGGTGGGTGGATGTGAGGATTTCAACAATTTCACTACTAAACACATTTGTGTGCCTCCTTAAAGAGCTATCATGCAAACTCAGAGTTTGTTGACCACAGTACCCATATAAAAAATGCATATTAAATTATTGATGTTTGGTTATAGGCACCACAACGAATTTAATATATTGATTTGGAATCATGATGATCTCTAAGAGATGATGGTTAAAAAGACATTCGACATTCGACATTCGAACACTCAACATTCTGACTGAGATTGTAGGGGACCGACCGCTGGAATTCGATGAAGAGGGGGTCACCAGATGGATCAGGATGAAGGAGGACCGTCAAAGGTTTCAGGCGCTACGTCAGCAATTGTACGATAGCAGCCAACCTTGGGCAACCCCGCATGACGCACTGGCGGTAGGCGACTCCGTCCTATGGCGCAACAAGCGCCGAGCCGATAAGCTGGCGCCGAACAGGAGAAAAAGAAAATTAAAAAGACTTTTTAATTTCTTTTTAGTCCTAGTCCTTGTCCAGGGAGTCCAATTGTGGGTGGGAGGCCGGCGCTTGCCATGGCCATTGGCCCGATGTTTTCCAGCAAGTCCAAATAGCTATTATCATGTATTCATTATCATGGCCAACCTTTATAGATATGCATCATGACAACCCCATTGGGCTTGAGTTGCACACCAACAATGGGGATTTGCTCCCGCGAGCGCCTTGCCCATCTATTTCCCACTATTCAAGCACATCGTGGTAGCCAAGGATAGGAGGTGAGGATAGGAAGAAGGGCTCTTCTTACAACCCGCAATTGAGGTCAGCGAGGGTTTGCCTATGGGGGTGGGTGTAGTGGCTTCCCAGGCTCCTATGTTGTGGTGCTCACGAGCATGACTTTGTTTGTTCTCCCATAAGTGTCTAGCCATCACATGCCTACCCCATTGAGGACTACCCTATTGATGCAACTCGTGCTTTTGAGGACTTGTGTGCAGGACTATATCAAGTGAGGTTCACTTTGTGGAGATAACTAGACCTAGTTACTAGCGATGATGCTGACAAGGAAATGTCCCGCCACTTCACGCAGCCATCCAGCAAACCTTGAGGGGCGCCGGGGTTGAGTGGGTTAAACAACATACTTTCAACTCGGCACAGCCTGAAGCTATAGAATAGCACCACATTATTAAGGCCAAAATCTTGTAAGGTTTGGGGCAAAACTTTCACCAATAGAGTCCGCACAAAATGGAGTCCACAACAATGTTACTGCCACACACCTGAACATATTTGCCTACCATCCTTGTGCCAAATTGTTGGTCAATATTGCTATAGTACGCCGTTACGAAGTTGGACAAAGCATGGATCATATCTAATTCAAGGGCTAAAATTCGGCCATTGCATTTCCTAACACTTGCACCCACACCCATTGCACATCTTTAAGTAATGCCTAAATTTTGATTAAGTTTTTACAAACAGACTTGGCCTCAAAGAACTTGATGTTTCGTAACATGGAGGCAACCCATGTACTTATTTTTAATCATAAAATCAGACACAACTCACAAATGCATGTGTCTCATGATCACTTTTTTGACCACAAACTACAATACACTACAAGATTTCTGGAAGAACGTCCCAAGCCATTATTGCTCTTGTCAATGCTCTACACTCCACAACACTATTTTATTATTATAAATATGGGTATGTCATTTCTAGTATGAGTCTGATGAACTTATACTATAGATGCAAGAATAGGTTTGATTAGCAATTGTTTCCAAGAGCCTTTATCTCATTACCTCGTAGTTGGTAGCTACAAGTAGGCAAAGGCATTGGACTTGTCCACCACTGTGCCTTGAATCCTTATTTGTGTTGTTGGTAAATGGCATTCAGACAATCCATCGATGTTGTTGAATGCATACCTTATGATGGGGTATGTATTTGCAATGCATAAGATCAGCGTGTGTATGGGGTTATACCATGATCTGAGCGCGGGACACCTCGACTGGAAACGGCGCCTAAGGGGCGCGTATGATGAGTTGCTTGAGGCCAACATGCAAGTGGTATGGAGGCGGGGTTACATGCTATTCGCTCTGCTTGAAGAGACATGAGTGGAGTTCTACCTACAATCAGCCCTTGTACTTTAGGTACTTGCGTTTGTTGTACTTTTCTCAGCATTTTGGGTGTGTTTTGGTCTATACTTCCGGCTTTCGTTTTGGGCCTAGGTGAGCGATCTTTGTTTTTTTTTTGTTGTATCTAAAATTTGCTGGTGAGAGGCTCTCTTTTCCGCAATTCCACTTAGCACTTTTGCTTGGTGGCGGGGTTCGTACCTGAAGTCTAGACACTTTGGTAACTCGCTGGACAATAGCTTTTGACATTCGATGCGACGAATGGTGAACACTTTCTGTTTTGTCCCAGGGCTCCCCCCATAGCTCCCAAACTATGTGAGGAAAGGGGGGACCTTAACCCTTCATGCATGTAGTTCCAATCTTGACACACACACACACACACACACACACACACCGCGTCCGACCTGCGTTTCTGGGCCCCCGGGTCCAGCCCCTTTCCGGCTCGTTTTCCCATGGACCCTGAGGCCGCCACCGCCGCTGGAGGCTCCCAGGCAGCGGGCCTGGCGGGTGGGACGGGCGCGGCTTCGGCCGCTTTCGTTCCCGCCCACCAGCCGCCGCTTGATGAGCGAGAACGCGCCGCCGCCACCGCCTTCATTGATCGGCGGATGCCCGCCATTCAGGGGGCGTCGAAGGCGGAGCTGCTGCGGCTGTGCCAGGAGGCCGGGCTACCTGGCAACCAGAACGACACCAAGCGGAAACTAATCGCCCGCCTGAAGAATGATCTTCAGGGGCGCGCGGAGGCTGCGGTGCGCGCGGATTCTGCTGCGCGCCGCGGCCTTTTGGGCCGTGTAGCGGCGCCTAGCACCTCCGGGGGCCAGGCCTTTGTGCCCGCTTCCCATCCCGCTGCGTCCCCTGGCGATCCGAGCGGGTCGGCCGACCCCGGATGCCTTTCCCGGGAGGCAGGCGCACCTCCTCCTTCCGGCTCCCGCGGCTCCTCACCGGTTCCGCCGGCGGGCAAGCGCCCCCGCGCTGATGCCCCCCCTTTCCTTCCCTCCGAGGCACCCTCCCAAGCTGCCCCTGCTGCTCATGCGGCCGCTGCGGGGGCGATCGGTGCTGGGCGCTGTCGACCTGCCCGGCCACCTGCCTCCATGACTGACCCGGTTGCCGCGCGGCGCCGCTCCCATGCTGCCGCATCGGCGCGGCCAGCGCGGATTGACGAGCTTCTCGAGCTCCAAGGGGAGCTGCGCCGCTGGCAATGCTGCTTGCGCGGCCTCCTAGACTGCCCTGACGAGACGCCGGAGGAGCTCCTGGCGCGCGTCGAGGTGGTGGTGGCGGAGCTGATGGACCCGGAGGACGGGCCGGTGGAGCTGGCGGACGTGTGGCGGGTCGGGCGGTACGCGCCGGAGCGCCCCCGTCCCGTCATCATCCGCTTTAAGCGGATGTGTGATAAAGTGGCGGCGTTGTGCGGGAAAGGGGTGCTGTACGGGGACAGACAGAGTGACATTCTGACTGAGTGGGTGGAGGAGAGTGGGGCGCCCCTCCGGCTGTACCACGACCTCAGCGCGGGGCAGCTTGACTGGAAGCGGCGATTGAGGGGCGCGTATGACGCGTTCCTTGAGGCCCAAACGCGGGTGGTCTGGAGGCGGGGGTACCGCCTGTTTGCATTACTTGAGGGGACCTGGGTAGAGTTCTACCCAGAGTCAGCCCTTATACCTTAGGTACTTGGGCTTTGCTGTACTTTACTGAGGTATTCAGGGGACTTTCGGCCTTTGTCCTGATGTGTTTCGTTTTGGAACTTGGTGCGCGGTAATGTGGGTTTTCTTTGTGTTTGCAATTTGCTGGTGAGGGGTCTTTTTCTGCGACTTTCTCTTATACTGGATTTTTTGGTGGCTGGGTTGGCCTTGAAGATTGGACACTTTGATAAGTTAATTGGACACTAGATTTTGACACTCGCTGCGACGAACGGTGAACACTTCTTGTGCTGTCCCAGGGCTCCCCCCACAGCTCCCGTTTGTGTGAGGAAAGGGGGGATTTTAGCCCTGCATGCATGTGCTTGTAACATCTTGACACACACACACACACACACACACCACTTTTCCGCGCATGCGCTCACCCCCCCTCCACCGTGGGGGGCTTGGAACGCGAATAACTCGGCGAACGGTGGACCATTTCGTGAGCTGCGCATAGCTACAGCCTCGCGGCGGTGAGACGAAGCCGTCGTCGCTCGCGGCACACATTTCCGCGGCCAAACGGTGACGTTCTGGCCTTGTGAAGACTTTTTGACGCCTGATTCTGGACGTGGGAGACGGTGACGAGCGGCGGCGCCCACACACGGCATGATGGGCCGCCCGCGCACTCGGGCCATGGCGCGGGCGGCCAGGGATTCGGAAGTCAGCCCGGGTTTGGAGACTCTCGACGAGGAGGTGTCAACACGCCCCGCCCCGCAGCATCATCGCGCGGATCTTGAATCGACGGGAGCGGGAGGGGGCCGCCCGCGCACTCGGGCCATGGCATGGGCGGATCGGAGTTTGGAGGCGCGGCCGGTCCATGGGCGTAGCATCGCAGGGGCGGTGGCGCTTCTTGAGCCATGGCGCAATCGCGCCTTGTTTCGTTCGGCTGGAGCGCGAGGATTCGAGGCGCATGCGATGGGCCCTGACGTGGGGGATCCTGCCACCCCGGGTGCCTCGGCGGGCAAGCCTCGCGCGCCGGTTGGACTGTCCCTTGAGGGGCGCATCGCGGTGGTGGTGGCCCCGACCCCCCCTTCTCTGTTCGGGCGTGCAGAACGTCTTGGCGCCCCTGATGCCGCTGTGCCGCCTGCGCCTGGGGTGGGGGATCGATCGTGCACCCGGGCCATGGCGCGGGCGGTGGGGGATCTGGAGACGCCGCCTGGCCACGGGGGCAGCGTCGTGGTGGTGGCGCCGCCCCTTGATTCGCGGCGCATTCGCGCCTTGTGTCCCTCGGCTGGTGCGTGTGGGACCGGGGCTCTTGCGACGGGCCTCAACGAGGGGGTTTTGGCCACCCCGGGAGCCTCGGCGGGCGAGCCTCACGTGCCGATTGGACCGGCCCTCCATGGGCGTATCACGGCGGAGGCTGCCCCCAGCCCGTGGGGGGACCAAGCGCTTTTGGATGCGGCTGTGGCGGGAGAGGTCGAGGTGTCTTCGGTGGGCCTCTTCGAAGGGGATCCTCTGGCCCCCCCTTGGACTTCGACGAACGGACCTCGCGGGGCGTACAGACCGGCCCTCGATGGGCGCTTCGAGGCGGGCGCTGCCCAGACTTCACGCACACGGCTTGAGCCTTCTGAGCACTCCGGCGCCCTTGACGTTTCTGCGCCGCTCGCGCCCGGTGTGGCGGACCGTCTGCACACCCGGGCCATGGCACGGGCGGGCCAGGGTTCGGTGGTGCGGCCCGCCCTTGGGCGCTGCGATGTGGAGGCGGAGGAGCTCGTCGATCCATGGCGCAACTGCGCCTCAGTTCTCTCGGTTGGAGCGGGCCGGAGCGGAGAGCAGCTGGAGGGCCTCTACGATGGGGATTTGGCCACCCCGGGGACTTCGTCGGCTGGCTTTCGCGTGGCATTTGGAACGGCCCCTGATGAGCGCTTCGTGGTGGTGGCCGCCCGGGTTTCTTCCTCGAGGAGTGGGAGGTCTGGACGTCTTGAAGCCCAAGCCTCTCTCACGCCTATCTCGCCCGGCATGGTGGTCTACGTCTCTGACAACTCTGCGGCGCGCGGCGGACGTCATTGGGGGCTGTCGGCAGGCAGCGCCGGTTTACCCTCGCCCTCGACGTCGGGGAGTGCGCCGTTCTCTTCGGGCTCCTCGGCCGATTCTCCAGCCTCTCCTCTGGGTTCACGGCGGATTTGCCGCGCCTTCACTGCAACGTCGATCTTAGATGGGGCCCATGGGGGCGATTCGCGCGGGCGGGGCAGCCCTTCGAGCTTCAGCGAGGGGTGTTCGTCCATTCCGGGCTCTGCGACGTGTTCTCCCTCTCCTGGATGGCGGCGGACGGCGCTGGACGACTTCGATTGGGGTGGCCATCCGCGCGCTCTACATGGGGGCTGCGCTTCGGGAGAGTGCGTTGTGTCTTCCTCGCTTGGCGGTTCAGACTTTTGCACTCCGCGGTCCTCGTGGAGTCCTATTGGTGGCGAGCCTCTGCCTCACTCTGATGGTCCTAAGCCTGGTGTGGGGGGTGGTGGGGCGACGTCCGGGCAACGGTGCGCGATGGCCGGGCGTCTGGGGGCTGATTGCCGCAGTGGTGGTGCTGTGGCTGTCTGGGCGACGCGGCACTCACTGGATCCGGTCGGCGGGGCGGCTCCGGGTGCTTCCTTCTCGGGGCGGGTCGAGGTCGTCGGAGTCGTCATCGAGGGATCGCGCAGGCTGCCATCGGATGCTGACTCTGAGGAGCTCTGCGACTGGGAGGTGGTGTTCGAGGACGGCGAGGCAGTGATCGATGACCTCAGTGCTTTTTCAGATTGGCTCTTGGAGCTTCCATCAGGCCGCCTTCATGCGGTTTATGACATGGCGGGTCTGGAGGCTGCCCCACCTGGGGCGTCCGATCGCTGTCTGGTCAATAGATTGGTGGTTCATCACGCGCACAAACGTCGGGCGGCTGGGCAGCGCTTGGATCGGACTGCGGACATGGCCTCCCCGACGGCGGTTCCTGGGGCTCTGACACGATCGCCGCGCCATGGCATCAAGAGACGGGCTGTGGTTCGCGGCCAGCGGATGGTGGGCTCTCTTCTGGAGGTTGCTGCCCGGCCGTTGGTGGTGGCCGATCGTGATGGGGCTTCTTCGGGGGCTGGTTGCGCTGATGCTCGTCCTCGTGTGAGCGTTCTGGCCGCACCACCCAAGCGGCTGGCGCTCTGCCCGCCCCAGGAGGACTCTGAGGATGGTGGCCGGCAGCTCCAGCTCGTGGTGCGTCCTCCTTCGGCGCTGGTCCCTGCCAAGCTGGGTTTTCCTTGCCCATTGCCTGGGCTGCTGGTGCGCGCTGCCGACGTCTTGGGGGAGGCCGCACCTTCGCCTGTGGGAGGTGTTCATTTGGAAGTGGATTTGGCGGTGGCGCCCCCTCCTTTTCGGGCTGAGGGGGGCTGGCTCTGCCCTCGTTCCCCTGGGGTTGGGGTCGCGGCCCTGCAGCCCCCCCTCCCCCGGTGGTGGTGGGCAACCCCTTCCAGGCCCTGACGATCCTGCCGCCGGACGTGGAGGTGTCGGAGGCGCCGGCCTTCGAGGCGCCCGTGGAGGGGGCTGCGATGACGCCGGTTCTTTCCCCCCCCTCCCCCATCCCCAACCTTGCCCGCGCCGGTTTCGCCCCCGACCTCGTCCTCCCGGGGGCCCAAAAGGCAGAAGAGGCAGAGAACGAGAGGCCCCAAGGCCCCCCCCCCCGGTCTCAGAGGCGAACCGGGCGAGGCTGGCGGCGCTGGAGGGGAGGCCGGCCAGGGGGAAACTCCTGGCCTTGACGGACGAGGCGCTGTGGGCCCTCCTGGCGGCCAACGGGCTGCCCCGGCGGCGGGACCACACCAAGGTCCTCATGGCTGGGGACCTGGTGGCCTGGATGGAGGGGCATGGGGAGGAGGCCCTCAGGCTGCCGGAGGGTGTGTCTCGTGTGCACAACCCTTCCCCTACCCCCTCTCTCCCCCGCTCCCCCCCTCCCCTCAGCAGCAGCCCCATGCGGCAGCAGGCCTCATCGACCCCGGGGGTGGACGCCTCCCAGCCCCCGCTCCCCATGAGTGGCCCTCCGTTGATGGGGGACCCACTTGGCCGGGCGTCATATGATGTGGGGAGGGCCGCTGAGACCCTGGCCAGGTCGTCCTCCAATGTTCTGGTGGCATTGGAGGCGGTGGGGGGGCTGATCGCCAAGGTCAAGGGCGGTGCCCCCCTTGCGAGTTCTGATCTGCTCGCCCTCGCCCCCCTCATCTCTGGGTGCACTGCCACCATGAGGGTGGTGGTGGCTGGAGTCACTGCTTGTGACCTCAGGCATGCATCTCAGCGGGTTCCAGCCAATGCCGCTGCCGTGCCGGGGGCATGTGCGGCTGCGCCTGCTGTGCGGACGTTCGCCGAGGTGACTCGGACGTCCCTGGCGCCCACGACGACCCAGATGACGACTTTGACGACTCAGCTCGCGCAGACGTCGCAGGCGACGCCGACTCAGACGGGCCTGAGATCTCCGACGCAGCTGACGACTCGGGGACGTCAGGGTCGTCAGGGACGTCAGGCGACGCTTCGGGGTGTGGCGGCTGACCGGAGCGCTGCCTCCCCCGCGCGGCGCCCCCCTCCCCAGTGGGATTGGGACCGGACGATCGTCATGCGGCCCCTTCAGGAGGTGGGCAGGCGGCAGGCGACGCGCGCCATGGACTTTGGCCGCGCACTTGATCATGCGCTGACGTCCAGGTGGGGATGCGACAAGGTGGTCCTGATGGTCAGGAGGACGGGCCATGGGGAGTACGCCGTTCTGATGACGAAGGGGGGCTATGCTCGGGCCAGGACTTTGGCTCCAATTCAGGTGGCTGGGTTCGGCAGGTGGGAACGATTGGAGGAGGCTCGCCGATGGCTCATGAGCGGGTCATTCGTTCTCAGCGTGGTCCCTTTGTCCCGCTCCCCCTCCGATTTGGCGCGGGAGCTGGCTTCTGACAATGCCAGCCGCTGGAGTGGCGTGTCGCAGGCGGATATGAGGAGCATTACAATTGAGCGGCTCAACCGGCGGGTCAAGGGCGGATCTTCGGATGCGGCTGAGGGCTGGACGCCTTCGACAGCGGTGAAGGTTTCGGCCTCCAAAGCGCTGTGTGAAGCGGTCTTGGCGGACGGCGGGGTGGTGCTGGATTTCGGGTGGGCCCCGGCCAGACCGTTCCAGCCTGCGCCACGGAGGTGCTTTTGCTGCGGCCAGTTGGGGGGCCATATTGCCCAATTCTGCCGCAACCCGCCGCGGTGCAGGAGCTGCGGGGGCGCGCACGAGACACGCGACTGTGCACACGCCCCCCCCGCACAAGCGGGGCGCGCTCAGAATGGGATTCAGCAGCCGGGTGCTCGTGCATCGCACCCTCCACCCGCCATATGATAGAGGCTGGGCAGGCGGGCACCTCCAATCGGGGGGGTGTCCGGGGTGGGGGGGGCCGGCTTTTTTCCTTTCTTCAACTGAATTGCCGACGGAGCGAGACGACTTGGACTCTGACCTTCCAGGAGCTCATCGACAAGGGTTCCACTGTGGACGTGCTGCTCATCCAGGACCCACCGCTGTCGGTGGCCATGGGGCGGACGGGCCTCCCGGGTTTTCGGCTGGTGGTGGTGCCGGGCACCGACTCCATGAACCCCCAGGCGGCGATCTTGATCAGGGACTCGCTATGGTTCAGGTCGGTCCGCCCTTTTGGGCCCAGAGTTGCTGCCGCTGAACTCATGGGGCCTTCGGGGTCTACAGTGGTCATCTCGGCTTACATTCGTCACACTTCGGGGGAGGGCCTGGACGATCTCCGCCGGGCAGTGGTCTGGGCACAGGGACACTCCCCTCGCCTGGTGATTGGCATGGACGCCAATGGCCACAGCCCGTTATGGGGGCCGGAGGACATTCCCTCCAACGCTGTGGGGCGTGCTCTGGAGGAGCTGATCATGGAGCACAACCTGGAGGTGGTCAACGATCTGGACGCCCCTCCGTCCTTTGTTTCTGATCAGGGGGTTCAGTCTTGGATTGACTTCACTTTGGCCACTCGCAGCGCTGCTCTGGGTTTAGCTGATTGGCGGGTGGACCAGGATTTTTTCTCTGGCTCGGATCACCGCGCCATCTGTTTCTCTGTGGCCCACTCTCCCGCCAACAACCGGACTTTCAGGTGCAAAGACTGGGGCAAGGTGGATTGGTCTCAATTCCATGCAGAGGTGGCTCTGGAGTGCAGGGCTCGGGGGATTCTGCGGGCTCACGATCATGACTCCGGCTGTGAAGGGAGGCCGGTTGTGGAGACTCGTGAGGAGGCCGATCGGATGATGACGACTCTTACCGAGGTGCTGCAAGGGGCCATCGACGCACTTGTGCCAGAGAAGAGGATTTGCTGGGCGTCAAAGCCATGGTGGAGCCCCCATCTCACGGAGCTGCGACGGCACATGAAGCACCTTCGGAACAGAGCTGACAGACTCAACACGGACCATGACAGGGGGCTCTTCCGCCGTGCCCGCAAGGCGTTCACTCAGGAGGTCAAGAAGGCGAAGGCGGCGGCGTGGCGACGGTTCTGTGAGTCTGTCAACCATGAGGACATGTGGCCTGCGCTTTAGTGGATCCTTAAGCCTCGCAGGCGGATTCAGGTGGCGGATCTTCAGACGGGTGAGGAGCAGTGGGTGGTTGAGGATCCGGACAAGGCTAGGGTGCTTCAGGCGCGCTTTTTCCCTGAGGCTCCGTCTACTCAGGAGTTTCGTGACCTGGCTGAGACCAGGAGAGAGGAGGTGGATTCCTGGCTAGCGGAGGAGTGGGAGGCGTTCCCTCCGATCCAGGAGTTCGAGGTCCGGAGGCGGATCCTGGAGATGAGGGCGGTTAGCGCACCGGGGGCGGACGGCATTTTGGCCAAATGCCTTCAGGAGTGCAGCGACAGCGTCACCCCGGTGCTCCAGACTATCTTTGATGGCCTGGTCCGCTCTGGCTCCCATCCGTCTTCATGGAGGGCTGCCAAGGTGGTCCCGATCCCCAAGCCCGGGGGGGACCTGTCTTTGGCCAAGGGATACCGAGTCGGTATTACCGACCCATCGCCCTCATAAACACCATGAGCAAGGTGTTAGAGGGGCTGGTCACGGACAGGCTCTCTTTCATTGTGGAGTCCAGGCAGCTCCTTAGCGACCACCAGCAGGGATTCAGGCAGTCCAGGGCCACCGAGCTGGGGCTTTGGCGGTTTGTGAACGCTGCCTCCAGGGCGCTTCGGAGGGGACATCGTTGCACTTCGGTGGCACTGAACATACAGGCAGCCTACGATTCAGTCGACCACACGGCCCTGCTATGGAAGCTTATGAGGTGGGACGTGCCACAATACTTAGTGGCGTGGATCAGGGGCTTCCTCCATGAGCGCGTGGCAAGCCTTCTCGTCAATGACTTTGAGGTCCAGGTCCCCGTCAGGGTGGGGGTGCCCCAGGGCTTGCCGCTCTCCCCCCTGCTTTTTACCATTTTTATTAATGACCTGGTGGAGGGGCTGGCACAGCGGATCTACGTGTCAGCATTTGCGGATGACGTCCTCATCTGGGACATCGTCTCTTCGTCTGAGGGCGCGCCGGGCAGGGTCCAAGCTGCCCTTGATTTCATTGAGGATTGGAGTGCTACGTGGGGCCTGGTCTTCGACGCGGCCAAGTGCAAGGCCCTGGATGCGACCTTCCGGAGGAGCGTGGAGCGACTTCATCTGACGATGGGTGGCCGGGTCATCCCCCAAGTTGATGAGATTAAATACTTGGGGGTCTGGATTGACAGCAGGCTGACTTGGAGGAAGCACCTGGAGATTACCTGCACCACTAGCCTGCAGCGTCTTCGCATCATCAGGAGACTTTGTGCTATGCATTGGGGGCTGCATCCGGCGGTTGTCTCTATTTTAGTGGAGGCGACGGTGATCCCGCTGCTGTGGTACGGGGTGGCAGCATGGGGCAGTGTGGTCAGGACGCAGGCCAGGCTGGAGGAGCTGGACAGGGTGCTCCGGCTGTCCGCGGTCGTCACCCTTGGACTTCTTAGGACGACGAGCACGGTGAAGGCCATTGCGGCGTGCGGGTGGTTGCCAGCCGATCTCCACATCCGCTACGCCATCCTTCGCTTTGTGCTCAGACAGCGGGTCTACGGCCGCACGTCCTTGGACCTTGATGACGGTGGACTCTGCCACAACCGGCAGGTTTC